ACGCAAAATTGTTTGCCTTAATTTAAACATGTATCTGATCAATATTATTTAGTGGTCTATTGGTATCATATAAGGGGTAAGTGCGGTTGTACACTTTGGCCCACTTTGTATCCGTCTTTTTTATTTTCTTAAATTGACGCAATTTCGTTCTGAAATCCCACGATAGATTTTAAATACATTGATCAATAACTCTCTTCGCTGACTTGTTCAATCGTTTGATGATAAGCTGTGTCATGATCAATAGTCAATACATTTGTCTTATAACGAAAGAAAGTTAACTGTGATACATAATTTTTCTCATGTTATCCCCCCCATCCCCCAGAGGTGCAGAGCATGTCCCAATGCTTGTTCAGAGAATCAACAAAAAGAATGCTACTGCACATCGTTTACTCCACTCGTCCGGCGATATTATCTAAACGTTACAGCTAAAACCATATTGAGTAAAAATCAAATGGATGTAAATACTATTCAGTCGTTTATAACGTGGCGAAAACCCCGGGCTAAGTACGATTTACCCACAATATATGGTAAGTAAATGGAACAATCTGTGGACTAGGTACAATTAACACACAATATATTATGGTAAGTAAATGGAACAATCTGTGGACTAGGTACAATTAACACGCAATATATTATGGTAAGTAAATGGAACAATCTGTGGACTAGGTACAATTAACACACAATATATTATGGTAAGTAAATGGAACAATCTGTGGACTAGGTACAATTAACACACAATATATTATGGTAAGTAAATGGAACAATCTGTGGACTAGGTACAATTAACACACAATATATTATGGTAAGTAAATGGAACAATCTGTGGACTAGGTACAATTAACACACAATATATTATGGTAAGTAAATGGAACAATCTGTGGACTAGGTACAATTAACACACAATATATTATGGTAAGTAAATGGAACAATCTGTGGACTAGGTACAATTAACACACAATATATTATGGTAAGTAAATGGAACAATCTGTGGACTAGGTACAATTAACACACAATATATTATGGTAAGCAAATGGAACAATCTGTGGACTAGGTACAATTAACACACAATATATTATGGTAAGTAAATGGAACAATCTGTGGACTAGGTACAATTAACACACAATATATTATGGTAAGTAAATGGAACAATCTGTGGACTAGGTACAATTAACACACAATATATTATGGTAAGTAAATGGAACAATCTGTGGACTAGGTACAATTAACACACAATATATTATGGTAAGTAAATGGAACAATCTGTGGACTAGGTACAATTAACACACAATATATTATGGTAAGTAAATGGAAAAATCTGTGGACTAGATACAATTAACACACAATATATGTTAAGCAAATTGAACAATATGTGGACTAGGTACAATTAACACACAATATATTATGGTAAGTAAATGGAACAATCTGTGGACTAGGTACAATTAACACACAATATATTATGGTAAGTAAATGGAACAATCTGTGGACTAGGTACACTTAACACACAATGTATGGTAAGCAAATGGAACAATATGTTGACTACTTACAATTAATACACAATATATGGTAAGCAAATGGAACAATCGGTGGACTAGTTACAATTAACACACAATATATTATGGTAAGTAAATGGAACAATCTGTGGACTAAGTACAATTAACACACAATATATTATGGTAAGTAAATGGAACAATCTGTGGACTAGGTACAATTAACACACAATATATTATGGTAAGTAAATGGAACAATCTGTGGACAAGGTACAATTAACACACAATATATTATGGTAAGTAAATGGAACAATCTGTGGACTAGGTACAATTAACACACAATATATTATGGTAAGTAAATGGAACAATCTGTGGACTAGGTACAATTAACACACAATATATTATGGTAAGTAAATGGAACAATCTGTGGACTAGGTACACTTAACACACAATGTATGGTAAGTAAATGGAACAATCTGTGGACTAGGTACAATTAACACACAATATATTATGGTAAGTAAATGGAACAATCTGTGGACTAGGTACAATTAACACACAATATATTATGGTAAGTAAATGGAACAATCTGTGGACTAGGTACAATTAACACACAATATATTATGGTAAGTAAATGGAACAATCTGTGGACTAGGTACAATTAACACACAATATATTATGGTAAGTAAATGGAACAATCTGTGGACTAGGTACAATTAACACACAATATATTATGGTAAGTAAATGGAACAATCTGTGGACTAGGTACACTTAACACACAATGTATGGTAAGCAAATGGAACAATATGTTGACTACTTACAATTAATACACAATATATGGTAAGCAAATGGAACAATCGGTGGACTAGTTACAATTAACACACAATATATTATGGTAAGTAAATGGAACAATCTGTGGACTAAGTACAATTAACACACAATATATTATGGTAAGTAAATGGAACAATCTGTGGACTAGGTACAATTAACACACAATATATTATGGTAAGTAAATGGAACAATCTGTGGACTAGGTACAATTAACACACAATATATTATGGTAAGTAAATGGAAAAATCTGTGGACTAGATACAATTAACACACAATATATGTTAAGCAAATTGAACAATATGTGGACTAGGTACAATTAACACACAATATATTATGGTAAGTAAATGGAACAACCTGTGGACTAGGTACACTTAACACACAATATATTATGGTAAGTAAATGGAGCAACCTGTGGACTAGGTACAGTTAACATACAATATATTATGGTAAGTAAATGGAACAACCTGTGGACTAGGTACACTTAACATACAATATATGGTAAGCAAATGGAATAATCCGTGGACCAGTTACAATTAACACACAATATATGGTAAGCAAATTGAACTTTATAATTGTGTTGTTGTTGTTTTTATTCATTTATTTTAACTTCGATTATGTTCGTGGTCTCCAGTTAGGAAAAATATTCGGAAGACTAATTGACCTACTTACCCACTTCTTGCCAAACATTCTCACAAACTTTGAGCTCTACGCCCTAACCACAAACTTTGAGCTCTACGCCCTAACCACAAACCCCCAAAATGTATTTATCCTGTTTTTTTTAAGGGCAATTGGATGAAAAATGATGGCATGAAATAAAAATTCCCGATAACTGCGCTAATTGATATAGGTTTAAAAAATATATCGCAAGTGCGTTGACAGCGTTATATTTTCTTTTGCTGTTGTGAAATAGATCATGATATAAATCTGCCGTGTAAAAGCGTGTGGGTCATTAGAATATTCATACATTTTAAGCGAGGGGAGGTGGGTGCCATTTCTAACCCCTTGGGGGTGAGGGGGTAGAACCAATTGGGTTTCTTATAAAATGCGTGACTTGCATGAATGTTTTGTCAAATTTTCAGCTTCATCTCCCATCGCTCGCTATTATATTTGATAAGAGATTTATACGAAAAACTCTTTGTTTTCGGGGGTCGTTCAAATTTAGTTTCAATTCGTTGTTTTTTTCGGCATACTTCCATCAAAATTTTTTTTGGAGATGGCTAAGCTTCTTTGCTAGTTTTAAAAAACCCAATCTCTCCACACAACTGGAGAACACTAGGAAACATTTTTTTTTTCTTTTTTGCAGATGATCATGCTGTAGTGTCGCAGCAATTCTCGAAATTTGTATTGAGTTAGTGTCATACCTCTTACAGGACTATGTCTCCGAGTTTGAATTCAGAATATTCCTTCTATTAATTAGATGACCTAATCAAAACGCAAAGCTGCCATATATTTTTTGCTTGTCTAAGTTTTCCCGGGTATCAAACTCCAATTCTCAAGTTTTGGAATCGACACAAATTTAAAACGCAAAAGCGTATGATGCTATGATCGTTTGATAAAATTATTCAAACTGGCTCACACATAAGTGATGAGAAAGTCTGGATCCGGAATTTTGGGTGGTCAAAGAAGGTGTTTGGGATGTGGAAAGGTTAGATGAGATGGCGCGTATTGTTTGCGTTCTGTCTGGGTACACATCGAACCGAAACACACTAGTCAGAAGAGGGACGTACCACGGTGCGGGCCTTTACGGCGCTGCTACTGAACACAAATTTAGAAACGTGCCTTACAAAAGCGTTAGGGCCCTGGATGTCAAATTTTTTTCCGGACTGCTCTCAAAAGCTCTTAAGTTGCGTACATTTCGCCCCGAGTGAGTAAATAACGCCAAAGGCGACGCCTCTGACAGAAGTGTTGCATTCGATTTAACATTACAGCATGTCATTTACAATACTGAAGGTATGCACCATGCGTCAAAGTCAAACTATCTTTGTCGGGATTGAAATAAGCCCACACAGCACAATTGTGCGAGACGGGACAGAGTCTCCCATTAAAACTTGTATCATACTTCTGTTGTTTTTATTATAAATCATCTCATCTGAATTTAGAAAGAAAAAAAGAACATTATCTTTCATTATAGTAAACACACTTACGTTTTCATAGTAAACACACTTACGTTTTTATAGTAAACACACTTACGTTTTCATAGTAAACACACTTACGTTTTCATAGTAAACACACTTACGTTTTCATAGTAAACACACTTACGTTTTCATAGTAAACACACTTATGTTTTCATAGTAAACACACTTATGTTTTCATAGTAAACACACGTATGTTTTCATAGTAAACACACTTATGTTTTCATAGTAAACACACTTATGTTTTTATAGTAAACACATTTATGTTTTTATAGTAAACACATTTATGTTTTTATAGTAAACACACTTATGTTTTTAGAGTAAACACATTTATGTTTACGGCATTTTTTTAAAAAGAATATTTTAAACACACACTTTTACGTATTATTTACCATCTTATTTCCAGGCAAGGAGGGGGCGTCAAGATTTACTGTTGATGATGGTCCAAATATCCTATCAGACTCAATGTGTACTGCCAACATATCGAGATGTGGGGTACACAAGTTTGAGTTTTGTGTCGACGGCTTACTGAATCCCTTGCTCACAATGGACTTCCACGTCTTTGATGGTCCATTTGTTCAACACCAAAATTGTATTACAAAAACCATCGATGTAGATACGCGCGCGTTGTACGTCAAACTTAACTACACCGATGACTGCACAAGGCATCTAGAGTTTGGCTGTGTTCTTTATTGTAAGTAAATCAATGTATTGCCTTTATTACGACGTTGTTTCTTTTTTTTTTTTTTTTAGTAAATGATTAAAAGAAAGTATGGCAAAACCTGAAAAAAAAGGAAGGCAAAAAAAAATCGATGACTGCACAAGGCATCTAGAGTTTGGCTGTGTTCTTTATTGTAAGTAAATCAATGTATTGCCTTTATTACGACGTTGTTTCTTTTTTTTTTTTTAGTAAATGATTAAAAGAAAGTATGGCCAAACCTGAAAAAAAAGGAATGCAACAAAAAATGAACGAGTCGATAGGAAGCCTTAGTCCGCGAATAAACCACAGACAAAAAAAAGAATTAAATTTAAAAATAACACTTTTCTTGAGAAGTAGTATCCGAGAATGCTTCAAAAATTTCGCCAAAAAAAAAATAAGTAGGTGAGAGCTTAAATACGGGCGAAAAGTGAAAGAAAGGAGAATTCAGTCCACTGCAGTTTGTCACAATGTGGAGGTTGGGGCAAAGGCTCAACTTGTGAATGAAGACATGAAGTTCATGCCATGTGGTGTCTTACGAAACTCTCTCTCTCTCTCTCTCTCTCTCTCTCTCTCTCTCTCTCTCTCTCTCTCTCTCTCTCTCTCTCTCTCTCTCTCTCTCTCTCTCTCTCTCTTTCTCTCGCTCTATCTCTCTGCGACAACCTTCCAAGAAAATGAAATATAAATCAGTGTATCGTCTTTATTTCTTTTGAAAAGTTTAAAGCTGAACATTGTAATTCTGCCCCGTAAAATTTAGCAAAGAAATTTTTGAGGTAAAGTTTCGCGCGGCCGCTTTTCTTGAGATTGTTTTGCGGGATATTGTGCGGGATATTGTGTGGGATATTGTGCGGGATATTGTGTGGGATATTGTCCTGACCATTTCAGTTAGACAGAAAAAAATGTTTCCCTTCGAAGATTTTGCAAGGTGACTATCCCATTGCTACCACAATTTTGATAACTTTCATTTGTCGTGTACTCGGCTCTAACTTCATGGTTCGTCGCTTTTCATATCCATTCGGCACCTCAGATGAAACTTTCGATTGCTTAGCTGCGCTGTTCGGTCTCTCAAATGGGTTGTTCTGTCCGTCAACAAAGCTCACCTGTCCCTCATGGGCACTGTTTAAACCCTTAACTGCACTGATTGCTCCCTTAATTATTCCACCCCTCGGCTGCTCTTTTCTGTTCCCCAACCACCGTCTCAACACTCAATATGAACTCTGTCCGAGTTCTTCAAACAACTCCTATGTTTATTAGTCATCAAATTAGTCGTCAAATCTCTACAAACCTTCCAATGACTATCAGTTTCTCATCTCTACATTCCTCTCAGGGACCATTAATGTCTAATCTCTAAAAACCTTAAAATGGCTATCAATATCGAATCTCTACATACCTTCCAATGACTATCAATTTTACCACAACTTAGCAAGGAACATTCTATCCCGTCAGATCCTTATT